ATGTGCTGAGGGGCAAGTCGGAGGCGAACGAGCAAGACGCCCGTCAAGCCCGTGAACAGCTCGCTGAACTCACACGTACGGCCACGGACTATGCAGACATGATCAAGTCCCGCGAAGCCGACATCGCACGCTTACGATCCGATCTCGAAGCGTCCAAATCCGAACGCAGTCGTCTGGCCAAAGACGTAGCAAATCTCGAAGGCCGCATCGCCACACTCTCCGCCGAAGTAGACTCTTTACGTAGCTCGGACGAGCGACACAGTGCCACGCAGTCGCGATTGCAAGATGAGCTCGACGAGTTGAGATCGTTGTTGCAGGCCAAGACGAGCGAGGAATCGGCGCAGCGTGAGGTTCAGAAACGGACGTCGGAGGAGTTGCAGAATTTGAGGGCTCAGGTCGCGGAGTTGCAGCAACTGCTTGACGAGGAGCATATCGCTGCGACTGATGCGCAGGCGCGGTTGAAGGTCGAGCTGGATACAGCTACGCGCGAACACTCGTCGTTGCTCCAGAGTCATCGCTCTCTCTCGGACCGTGCGCAGGCGTTGGACGCCAGACTCAAGACGGCGGAGGCGCAACTCTCGGAGGCCGAGAAGGCCAAACGGTCGCTTGAGAACGAGTTGCAGGGTCTGCGGACGCGGCAGATTGACATCGATACTCAGCTTGCGGAGGTCAGTAAGGCCAAGGGTGCACTCGAGCGTCAAGTTGCGGCTGCGCATGCGAAGGCGCAGGATTTCGAGGATACGGCGTTGCAGCTCGAGCGGGAGAAGAATGCTCAGGATCGGGATCTGGAGAGGGTGAAGCAGCAATTGGAAGTGGAGAGTGCGAAGCGTGCGCAGGCGGAGAAGACGCTTTCAGGGCAGAAACAGGAGTTGGTGTCGTTGAGGGATAAGAACGCGAAGCATGAGCGAGAGCTTAACAAGACGCTTACGGATCTGAAGAATAAGGAGTGGGAGGTGAAGCAGCTCGAGAGTCGACAGGATAAGACGATCGTGGAGCATGTGCATGTTCTTCAGGAGGCTAAACGCGTTACGGATGCTCAGCTTGCGGAGGCGAGGAAGGAGTTGCAGGCGCAGGATTTGTATATTAAGAGTTTGGAGAAGGTCAAGCAGAGGTTGTTGGGTGAGGCGGAGGATCTGGCTAGGGCGACGGAACAGGAACATGTGCAGATGAGGAGTAAGGAGAAGGCTATTAGGGCTGTTGAGGAGAAGGCTGCGCAGGCTCAGGCGTTCGCTGAGGATCAGAGACGAGGACGGGAGGCTGCAGAGAGTAATGTGCGGAGGTTGCAGGCGGACGTGCAGAGTGCGCACGATCAGATTGCGGAGGTTACGCAGCAATTCCTCGCGATGCGGACGGCGAAGGACGTGCTCGAGACGGATCTGGCGAGGATTGCGGACGAGACGGAGTCGACGAGCGTTAGTGCGGCTAGTAAGGCGTCGAGGGAGGCCGATGCGCGGATTGCGAAGCTCGAGAGACAGTTGGAGGAGGCGAATATGGCGAGGGAAACTGCTCAGCTCATCCGAGAGCATGTTGATCGGCAGCACGAGGAGATTCGGAAGCTCGTTATGGCGCCCGGCTCGCACGACGATACGTTCCGCGACAAGTTGCTGCGTGAACTCGCGCGCTCGGAGGAGCAGATCGACAGCGAGATGCGCGCGAGGAATATCCCCGTCCCTGGTATCAAGTCTACCGTCACGCCGTCGAGCAAGCGTGCCTCTACCAACGGCACAGTACGCGAGCGCGTACAGTCGCTCACCAACGCCTCTCCCACGGCAAGTCCGCGTAAGAGCAGCGGCAGTGCCGAAGTCGCCTCGCTCAAGCAGCAGATGCAAGTCCTTGAGATCAAGATGGCTGCCTCGGACCGCGTGCGGCAGCATCTCGAGTCTTCGTTGCGCGAGTTAACCGCCGAGCTGGACAATTCGGACGGGTCGAAGGCAAGCTTGCAGGCGTATCGCGCTCGTCTAGCAAAGGAGAACACGCGCTTGGGAGAGCTCTTGTCGGACGAAGCCGAAGCTCGTCGTGCCGCTCAACAGGCTCAGCTCACTGGTGTACAGGAAATGTGGACCAAGTTCCAGAGTCAGCTTGATGCTGAGCGGGAGAACTATGCGCGTTTGGAGGAGAGTCGCAAGGCGCTTGTCGTTCAGCAGAAGAACGCTCAACTGGAAGCTGAGACTCATAAGCGCGCCAATGTTGAGCTCGCTCAGACCAAGAAGAAGCTGCAGCACGAGGTCACGGATTTGAAAGACCGCCTTGAGTCGGAGACGCTTGCGAAGAAGGAGGAGACGAGTGAGTACTTGTCGATGGTTTGCATGCATGCCGCTTTACTGATGACTGTCAAGTGTCCAAACGTCAAGCGCTTCAACGGCTTCAGGATCTCGAAGTCGCTTCCACTTCTTCGTCGAGTGCGCAGTCGGAACTGCGCGAGGCTGTCGAGGCATTCAAGAACAAGTCCGAGACTTACCGTATCCGACTTGAAGAGCTGGAGATCGAGAAGATCAAGCTTGAGCGCTCCGAGGCTGTCTGTGCGTCTGTTTCCCTTTGAACTCATCACGTCATACTGACTTGTTTACAGTCAAACGTTCATTGGCGGACCAGGAGAACACTCTGAACGCTACCGCTGCAGAGAGGGACGGCCTTTCGCAACGCCTCAAAGAAGCTGAGATCCGCTTGCAGGAGTTTGAGTCGCGCATGGAAGAGATCCATGGCGAGAGCGCGGACATGGTTGTACTCCGGAAGAGACTGGCTGAGGAGACGGAGGACGAGCGTCGGCAGTGGGAGAAGGAGCTTGCGGACCGCGATCATGCGGCTGATATGACCCGCACCAAGTACCAACGTACGTTCGCTAGTCAAAGCATACGACGAGTCGCTGACAAAGTCTACAGAGGAACTCGCCCAGCTTAGCGAAGAGTTGAAGAGTCAACGCGACGGCATGTCGAAGTTGCGCGAAGAGCTACGCAAGACCCGCAGCGACTATGATGAGCTTCAAGTCCGGTACGACGATGAGGTGTACGCTGGAGGGGCGTGGAAGAAGGAGCGGGAACGACTGGAGACAAAGATTTCCGATCTCTCGCGCGCTTACGACGCAGCCACCGGTGCTCAGGCAGAGCAGCAGGCGCAGATCGTCTCCTTGCACTCGAACGTCCGCGAGTTGCGCTCCGTTCTCAACGATGCAGAAGCAGATCGCTCGTTGCTGCAGAAGGCTCGCAGGAACCTACAACTGGAGCTGGAAACAATGCAACTGGACAACGCCGACGCTTCGAGGATGGGTACAGACAGGGAGCTCCAGACCCTGTTAATGCAGAAGCAGGATCTCGAGAGGACGTTGGACGAGCATGCAGATCGCGTGGAGATGGCCAACGATCGCCAGAAGAAGGCGGAGGCACATGCACAGGACATTGCGCTCGAGCTCGGGAGAATTCGTGTGGAGAACAGCGAGCTGGATAAAGCGAACGCCAGCCTCGAGAAGCAGATCAAAGAGGCTCAGCTCCGCATCGTCGACCTTGAGACTCGCGCGTATTCTCGTACCCCTGGCGCAGCAGGGTCCACCAACGACGCGACGGTGCGCTCCCTCAAGGCCCGGATCGACGAGCTCCAGAACGAGCTGGCCAGTGCGAACTCGGCGAAGGCGCGGGCGGGCTTGTCCAAGGATCGCGAGGCAACGCTTCGGCTCGCCGATGCTGACAGGACACGCATGAAGCTTGAGGATGAAGTGCGAGCGTACGAGGAGAAAGTCGCTGGCATGAGACGGTCGCTGGAGAGCATGCAGACGACGGAAGGCGAACTGCAGCTGGCAAAGCGTCGTGCCGAGCGTGAAGCAACCGACCTTCGGCAGCGCTCATTGAAGTACGTAGGCACTTACATGAGTTGAAGAGCCAAACTGACCGTATTGAACAGCTTGGAACACGAAGTCGAGCGCTTGCGGGCAAGACTCGATCGTTCAGCGACGCCTGGTTCTATAGGCTCTCCAAGAAGAGGAGCGTGATCTACCATCTTCCCTCCTTCCTCCTCCTTCTGCTCTTAGATTTGCTGTCTCGTTTGTGTCGGCATATCTCTCTCTCGCATCTGCTCGATCCACGATCTCCATATTCACGATCTCACGTCTTTTCTTACGACTTCGACTTTGACTGCTGTCTCGTTCATTATTACTGTACTGCCTTTGCACGACTGTATCGACTATGGACATCGTTCTGACTCGGACTGTACTATCGTATGACTGGCTCATTATAACACCATTTCCGTCTCTCCGTTGGCACATATAGCGTCACTAACAACTAGAACGGTCGCAACACTACATAGGAAACAAGCAGCGCAAGTCGGTCCACCTTGAACAACATAACATGTATAACAGAACTTTAATAAGAGATGTCTAGATCGTGAGCTTCCTTTACTCCTTACTTGCGCTCAAGATCTAGGCAGTACCACATTCGCTTCTGTCCACCTTCACGGCCGTAGTGTTGAGAGTGTCGTCGTGTTCAGCTTGCCCATTCGAGAGCGTGTTCAGTGTCGCGGCCTCGGCAGCGGTGAAGGTGATCGGTGCAGTACGTGATCGTCCAGCAGCTCCCTCACGCAACCGAGCCGTACCCCTCCTCTTTGAAAGTCCATCCAGCCAGGCGCTCCTCGTTCTCGTTTAGCACCCATATCATATTCTCTGTAAGCCCGGTTTGGTGAGCTGTTGAGCGCTCGGAGAGTACAGTCGAGTTCGAGACATGTTTGGGGCGATATAGCAGGACGCGAGTTGCACGGGGTTCATATGTTGCGCACGTCAGACGTGGTGCCAGCTCATTTCACATGCCAAGATGAAAGCACGAAGCAAGACGAGTCCTCCCGGCCTGTCGCCGTCGTTGCTGGGGACAAGCGGGTCGCTGAACCATCGAGACCTTTCTGAGTCGTTGCCTGGCTTCTCAATCATATATGTATGCACTGTGACCCGGTTTATGGGACCTGTAGCTCAACGGTAGAGCGTAGATGATTAGTCTGGCAACCTTCTCAGCAAAGCAAAACAATGATCTCTGCCCGGATCGAACGGACGACCTTCTGGAAGCTCCAGGACAAACACAGGTGTTCGTTCAGCTGGAATCAGACATTCTACCACTGAACTAAGAGATCGCTGGGTGAACTTCAGTTTGTGCAACTATATCCTTAAGGCTACCGTTGAGATGAAAGTCGCCCGTTTAATCCGGGCCAGATGAAATCCCTTGCCTCATCCGATAAGATGCTTATATATGTGCGCGTCATATAGCCTACCCCAGCATTTGAGACACCACTACCATAGAAGGACATCCGATGTATTCGTGCGGGTTCGTGACTATATGGTATACACTGATGTACAAAGCGAGTCTACCATGATGAAAACTAGAGCAAAGCAAAAGGATCACGATCACCACGATGTTGGGCTACAGAAGTCCAGGGTCAGCTCGATCGATCGATGAGAAGGCGTGCGATGTACCCAAATCTTTGCCCGTCTGGCAACGTCTTCAAGGGCAAAGCAGCCCAATCGGCGGTGCGAGTGAATACCGTGTTCCCCCACCAGGTGGCTACAGTTGTTGCGCCTATATTTCCGTTTCGAGGGTATTGTAGACTGAAGTTCAAGTCAGGAGGGAGCTCGACGAGCATACTGTGATTGGACATCACCAGAAGAACACGAGTATTGTTCCAAGGGCGGTACCTGCATCCAGTGCAGCGGACAGGACATCTATAACCGCGTCAGAGCGATGCGATCAGTCTGAAGGAAGACACGCACAGTTGTACTTGACCCAGAAGGAGAAATGCCGTCGACGAACAAAGTACTGGAAGACGAACCCGGTGAGAGCCCACGTCACAAAGTTGGAGGCGTTCGCTGGTGGGAGCAACTGGAGCCCGGAGAAGATCAAGCTGTACAGGTTTAGCACATTCATATACCAAGTGTCAACTCCGAAACTCACGGGAAACTAGAAAGTCGTTAGCCAAAAGAGACGGAGAATGTGAGAACACGCACTTCAGATAGTTCAGCCACGAGTGCGGATAGCGTTTCGTCAACATGTACTGGAGTAATGGAGCGATGCCGCCAACGAGGAAGAAGAACATGAGCCCTACAAGAAAACCGACATCAACGCCAGTGCTAATAGCGCTCGAGAGAACACCGACCGTAGTAGATCTGATTGGCGGCGAATTGTCTTTGAGGCCCGATGAGACCCCAAATTATGGCCGCTGTAGCGAATACCTCCTGGTTCGCGCAGACAAACCTTTGAGGCTGATCGTCGGTGCATATATCTCTGCAGTGAGAAGGCTATTAGAACAGCTCGAGGATGGCGGCATCATGTCCTACTGAATGTTAGAAAACATCCTGCAATTTATGTGAGCGCAGGTTTTCACAGAGCAACTAGATAACGTTACCACGACTGCACAGCGAGCTGCGCTGTCCCAGCGATAATCGTCGATGTTATCTATGGCCATGCTCAAGTTCAACAATGATTTGACACACAGATGAAGTCTTACCTGTGCGGCGAACATAGGTATCGGCGGTATCTTCCTGCATATTCAGAAGCTGTTGAGCTTCTTGCAGCAGCGAGCGTAGACAGGAAGCGAGATGCGCACATGTAATGCCCAAGCTTGAAGTCGCCGGTGAAGATCATGGCTGCGAATGATCAGCGACACTGCGGCATGGTCTAGAGCGTGCTTTTACCTTGTGTCATGGTTATGTATCCCCACGTCTATAATGTCTCGTCAGCATACCTCGACTCATAGACTCAAAGCCGGCAAAAGCAGGTTCCACGTACTTTGAACCTGAAAACGTCGGTTTAGCAACAGTGGATGAGTTGCCGAATGCAAGAACTCACATCATCATCGCAACAGGCTTTCCAGGAAGCATGAAACCGATCAGTAGTTCAGCGAGGACACTACGTTCGTCAGTCTACTTGACCATGCTGCTGAGAAGTGAACGCCACAAACTTCAAGCCGATCTGTCGACTGGTAATCGCCTGGATCATGCCGATGGGCACAAGAAAGATGAGCGCTTTGAACTTGATTCAGCCAACGAAATGTGGGATGAACTGCAGTTATTGCTCACCTATCGCGATGGCCACGATGAAAGCCCATATGGTCATCCCGGTTGGCCACAATTCAATGCACAAGCACCCCGCAGTGAAGGTGAAGACTTCGTAGCATCAGCATCTTTCATAACCAGTTCGTAGAGATACTCACTGAAGATCACAGCGTACCACCATTCGGGTACTATTTGAGGCGTCATTAAGCGTATCTAGACGTCAATTTGCGGACATGCCTTGATTGTACCGCGACATAAGAAGCGCGTGGACGTCTGGCTGCTCCCGTAGTGACTGTCCGAAGTTGCGCTTGATCGGTCGATAAAAGTAGATAGCCGCGTGCATAATTGTGGCGGTGATAGTTGCAAAGCTCAATCCGTATGACATGGCAAAAGTCGTACTGAACGGATCGTCAGCTTAGCACACTATCGCAACTGGTCTGCTGGACTGACGAAAGGAATAGAGGGCTGTAAGCTTCGTAAGCAGTCTGGTTGAAAGACGCGTCGGGATTGAGTATCCGTGTTAAGTTGTACGGTTTGCCGGTGTTATCGTATGGGTTTCGCGAAGAGACCCTATGGAGTGCATTCGTTAGAACAGATATGCAGCAAAGTATGAGTCCACACGCACGGTAGATAATGCGACCACCACGCATTAGAGTACTACGAAAGCTTGTCACAGTTATTGGACGCGGCTTTGAACTGGGGCTTACGTATAGGGCCGGTGTCAGGATCCCTGCAGAAGTCGTCAGTATAAAGGCTTGGTAGATGGCATATACAACCGCACAATAGAAAAACACAAAGCTGCCGAAGACATTCGCAGCAGCCCACCCTGATCTCTTGTTAGAAGCGTTGCACGATTCTCGACGGAGAGCGATACATACAGGGTACAGCAAGACTACGGGTGAGCCGTCAGCGACTCTCTCACCACTTCAGAACGTGAAGCACTCACGGGCTCCCGGTGTATGCAATCTGCGTCCAGTCGAAGGAGATGAGCGAGAGTCCAAGACCAGAACGGTAACTGCAGGCGCATGTTAGTGGAGGAAAGAAGATGGGCTGCCGTCAACGCACCCAAACAACTGGTTGACTATCTGTGATGACGTCAGATCGCCCAACGCGCATGAGGCAGCGAGGCACTTACCACGTTCGAAGGTGCAATCCAGCAGACCCAATTGAAATAGCTAAGGGCTGCATGAGTGATTCGCATTCAGATACATATTGCGTAGGTAGCTTACCTAAGGGCCTGGAAGAGATATCCTGGGAAGAAATCTGGGTCAAACATGTGAGCGAACGTTGCCACTCCGAGCTCGCCCGGGACGTACACCAGACCGTGGCACACACGCATACATATCTTACAGCTACTTGTCAGCGTGGCGCAGATCGTGTCACTTAGGGTTACATACGTGAAGAAACGCTCTCGACTGACGCCCCGTTGGGTTCCCGCTCCAGGATAGTTTAGCGAATGCAACGTGTTGAAGAGCGCACACGAGACCAATGTCGCCGGCCAAACTGTTTATCATTATGAGCTGCGCAGCTGGATGAGGGAACATGCGTACTCATGGAGGGAGGAGTGACTAGAAAGCGCCGTGCGATACCTCCGATGGAAAAGCCGATGAGTTGCGTAGACTACAGGGTGCTCCACTGAGTCATCGCTACCGCAGATGAAGGGAAAGACATACCATAACCAATAGCCAAGCGTCTGAGATGATTAGTTGAGCAGTATAGTGCGCGATGCGAAGAAAGACATACAGATGAACCCAAAGTTTTGATTGAAGTAAATCTTCTGCACGGCAACAATCTCCGTCTTGCCCGGTAATGTCAGTAGAGCTTAGTACAGAGGTTGGACAGGACGCACAGCATAAGCCGCTTGTGAGCCCACTCCGGCCATGACGGTGACGAGTACCTGCGTGTTAGAGCGTGAGACACGTATCGAAGGGCTCTGGGGTGTCCAGTCCTTACATGCTCCTTGATAGTGAAGTAGCCAGGGTTGAGGGGTACACCGAATATTCTGACCTGCGGCATAAGACGCGCCCAGAGACGACCCATTGGGAATGATATCAGTTGAGCCACCAGTTGGTTGACGTATATTGTTGGATATCGAAGCTACAAGCTCATCTCAATGAATGTGGAAGCGAAACCGCAAGCACCGTATACGTACGAGGAAGAACTGGTTGACACTGGGTAACACCAAGGCCCAGATGAGTCCAAGTGTCCATGCGCGTATTGTGGAGCTGGGCATGGTGGGGTCGTCAAAGTTCGCAACAGCAGCGCGTACTTCAGGATATGGAGAATCATTCCCTGTGGTATGTTTAGTCGAGATACTGGATCTGAGCATACACTCGAGCAGTACCCAGCTCAGTCTGCTCAGCGTCGAAGTTTGGATCGAAGTCAGATACAGAGTCCAAGTCCCCCGCATATCGAACCGATACATCCTATAGGTTGGTCAGTTGGTTACATTGTTGCCTGCTCAAGTCAGCCATACCTCCTCCGCGTCTATGTTGAGGTTCGGTCAATGTAACCATATAGAAAGAGAAGTGCAATCTTACCGCGTGACTTCTCACTCTCGGTCGGGCGCTCACCCTCCCCGTTCTCCACTAGGACACGAGCGTCATGGAGGTCGACAGGCATCTCATGCTCGCCGAGGTAAACCCCAGGGACAGAGTGCTTCGACGTCAAGCTGCTTGTTGATAATGAAGCCAGGTTGACTGTAGGGGTCTAGCGTCTAATACGCGGACGCGTTCATCAGCATCTTGTTCTATAGTTCAACGATCAGACGGGACCGGGACTGACGCCTTGAATGAAAGATAAGGGATTCGAACAACTCCAGAGATATCAGTCAGCGCGCAGAGATCTCTGTGTATATGACTGATGCAACCGGTGACCAACAAGGATGATAGGTCTAGTTGAACGGCCGCAAACTGGCAAGGGGGACGAAGACTGGGGCCACAGGAAGACAGTGGTGGTGGATGCGGGAAAAGAGCGAAGATCTGTATGCAGCGGAAGGACGCGTTAGAAAACGCTCGGCAACGCGAACTTCGAAGCTGCTCACGCGCGTGGAAAAGCCCGGTGTGCCTGAGTTCTGCTCTCGGTG